AATCTAATTTATTTGACTTTCATTACAAATGAATCCAGTAAAAAAGTCATTCCGGATTTCAAACACCCTCATGCATTGAAAACCACATTTTTTCTGTAAATATGCTCAAACTATGGTAGGTACACCAAAATTTGTGAGGAAAGTTTGCAAATAGGTTTCTCATAAAAACGCTCAAAGTATAGAAATTTTATGTAAGAAGGAAAGATTCCATGAATTTGAGTCCTTCAATATATATATACAGACCTTCATCTCCAGAATAATTCTTCGAAATATGTATCGCCATCTCCCGATGAGCTTTTAGGAAAAAAAGTTATATGAAGTACTGGTGATATTTTGACCCCATCTATACATTCCCGAAAGGAAAAGAGGAAGTCCAGGGACACCCTGTATATCGATGCTGTTCATTTTTCTCCAAATTTAGGTTTTTTGCCTCTTGTCAGCTTAGTATTACCTACTATATAATTTCGTTAAGTGATTTTCGGCTATTTTTTCCCTACGAAAAATAAACCAGGCTTTAACAATGATGGTGTTAATTAACGAACTGTTCGACGTTGGTTTGTAAAATTTCGTTTGAAATTTTAGCCTGGATAATGAGTCCCAGTAATCCAGGACGAGGATTTGAGGATCCTGGTGGATACTGACCCATCACAAACGGTGCATAAGGAGGCGGAAGAACTGGGTGTCAGATTTTTGATGGTTTAAAGGTGAAAAAGCTCAAAAAGTTGGTGCCCCACGATTTGACCGTTCGACAGAAATTATCACGTTTCGAAGTCTGTTCTTTACTTTTGCGCAACCAAAACGATCCTTTTTTGGATCGGATCGTCACGTGTGATGAAAAGTGAATCATCTACGACAACACGTGAAGTTCAGGATAGTGGTTGGACACCGATGACCCACCGGGGCACTTACCAAAGGTGAAAACCCTCCCAAAAAAAGGCCATGGGTACTGTATGATTTTCAGCGGCTGGTGTGATTCAATATAACTTTCTGCAACCGGGTCAAACAATCAGAGAAGAGTCTTGTTGTAAGAAAACCGATCAAATGTACCGAAAATTGCGCTAGCAGCAGCCGGTGGTGTTCAGTGGAAAAGGTCCGATCCTGCTCCACGACAACACCCGCCCGCACGTTTCACAAATCACCGTCCGAAAATTAAACGAATTGAGCGTCGGAATTCAGCCTCACCCACTATACTCCCCAGGCCTCCCCAACTAACATCTTTTCAAGCACTTTGATACGTTTCTCACCGGTAGAACCTTCCCCAATCATGCGATAGAATCTCTGGAAATCAATGTAGATATTCAAATTTTCTTTTAAACCACCAACAGGAAGTTATTCATTCACCATTATCAGTAATTAACACATTCACATATTAATTGCTTTTTTAGAAATGATAATGTAATTATTTGTGCTTTTTAATTCTACATGTTTTAACAGAATTAATTGTGACAAAACACGTACTAGTGTACCTGTTTTCTAGAAGTAATATGGTATTATACCAAATTGTTTATTCGAAGTCTACCTGTTTTGCCAGATTTATGCATTTATTTAATGATAATATAAAAGATTGTTGAATAAATCTAAAGAAATGAACTCAAACGTTCAATCCAGTCTCGAATATACCTACACCGTAGGTTGAATGGACTGACGCCTATCAGAAAACAACTACTCCCCTGGCTAATACTACGAAGGGCGTTGGATTATATCCGACAGGCGTCAGTGCAGGAATCTTCACAGAAAATTTCCTACATATGCAATTGGCAATACAACTGAAAGAGTCGACCTTCAATTTTGGAACGAGCACACTTGCAGACCGGTTTCGGGCTCATTAGCCACTCATCAGTGCAAGATAGTGGCCATCATCGACCTGAAGTTCCATAATTGAAAATTGGAATTCTTTCAGACTATTTCATTCCTCTTCCTAAGTTGGAGCGAATAACAAAATGTCGCTCCATCTAGTGGACGAGGTACTAACCAACTGCGTATCCGTAATTTGCCCGATTCCTCTGAATAAGGAAGAAAAACTTTCTTATTAGTCAGGGGGCTATGCTCGAACACTGGTAGTAAACAATTTTAAAGAAAAAAAGAAATTAATTTTAAACGTTCAAGCCAGTCTCGAATATACCTACACAATAGGTTGAATGGACTGACGCCTATCAGAAAACCACTATTCCCCTAGCTAAAACCACGAAAGGCGTTGGACTATATCCGACAGGCGTCAGTCCATTCAACCTACTGTGTAGGTATATTCGAGAGTGGCTTGAACGTTTAAAGTTCATTTCTTTAGATTTGTTTACTGCCAGTCTTCAAGCATAGCCCACTGACTAATAAGAAAGATTATCGAATAGTTTGATGTACCAGTAACTGATGAAGTTTTAGTGTAGCGAAATGCGTTTTAAATAAAGTTCATTGTAAAACTTCTATAATTATAATCATAGATAATTTAATTATGTTTATCCATTTTTCAGCTTGGTAAAAACACAAAAACGCATTCAAAATGGACTGAAGGTTTTACAGTACTATGCAACTAGGCCTTGGTTTTTTCACAATGAAAAATTTACTCAGCTTTTTGACAGCTTATCCAGTACTGATAAAGAAATATTTTATTCCAACAGAGAGTCTTTGAACTTTGAAGAATATATGCAAAACTATATACTGGGTGCTAGGAAATATTGTGCACGTGAAGAAATAGATACACTGCCACACGCAAGGAAAGTTTTGAAAAGGTTTGTAATTTGTAACCCTTCACTTGTTATTTCAAAAGTAAATCAAATTTTATTTTTTTCAGGTTATATTATTTAGATGTATTGAAGAATATCTTTATTGTAATACTTTTATTATGGTTAGGATACAAGTTGGTATGCAGCTTTATGAGGATTGTGGAATCTTAGGTGTAATTAATTGTTGAATAAAAGCAATTGAAACATTTTTTTTATATTTATTCTCTCTATGGAAAATTAACTCTTTATCAAGACAAAGTTATTTGAAATACCTATTTGTTTGTTATGCAAATAATTTCCCAATATGGTATAGAGATGAAAGACCATACTTTACATGATCATAATGAAGAGAGTTAATAACAGAAACATTTTCTAATAAACTGAGATTACAAAATGCTTCAATAGTTTAAGAAGATGGATAATTCCCCAAAACAGTTTATAAACAATTTTTTTCTTTCTTTCTTTCTTCAATACCTATATTCTCAGAAATAGTATTGGATTTAAACGAAAACTTTGTTGTCGAAGTTGTGATTCTATATACTTAATCATCATCTTTCCTCATCTGTTTAGTACAGATTGAGGCAAAAACGTCGGTCATTTCTGAAATAAAATTTGATTATTTTAAATGGAACACCCTGTATATTATTGAAAATTCGGAAAGCTGCTGAAATTTGCTTTCTTTCTATGTACATCATACCTATACCTAACTAGTCAAGTTTCGGACTTATGAACATTTATTTGTGAAAATGTCCCTTCAGTGATCCGTTGTCTGGTTCACCAGAAACGTCTAATGTGCCATCCACCGTGAATCAGCCTGTATGTAAAATACTGAGCCATAAATACAATTGAATTGGATACTTTTCAACAATGCACATTTTAGAATATCTGTCAAATTCTTAAAAAAATTGATACAATTGTCGTTTAATGTGTTCAATATAGATAAACTTTGTCTTTTACACTCACTAATTTGGATGAATCATTCAAAAGTTATAACAATAAGATTAACTTGATGCAACGCAATAAGCCATTACGCGTCGCGTTTACTGTAAGACAAGGGGGGAAGATGCGCGGGGGTACTGGTGCGGTCTAAGCAATGAAACGCTACCGCCGAGAACGCGGGCAGACGTCGTTGACGGTTGGGTTAGCTTTGCGAAATTCGATTATCGAAGCTATTCATTACTTAGTGCAGTTGCCATATTTTTTCAGTTATTATATTTTCATAGTGAAAATATAAATTACTAGCTGTTGCCCGCTCTTATATTAACGTACAGTCGAAGCTACTGAACCTAGAATCTTGAAATATGCAGGTAGGTTCTTTGTATAGCGTAAATAAGCATCAAGAAAGGGAATCAGAAATTTCCACCCCCCAAGGGGGAAAAACACATGTTCAAAGATTATATTGAATTTTGTTAAAATGGTCTGTCATGAAACCTAATATGACAAACCGGATACTTCGCGGGGGAAGCCGCGGGCAACAACTAGTGATTCAATAAATCCGGTTTTCAAACGTCTATCTGCTTGGACACTCCGATCAAAACTGTGTTTACAGAGGCATTAATATTGGTTTCAATAAAACCTGTCGGAAGAATTGATAGACATTTCAAAAAATATACTCACTGAGAAATAAAGGTTGTGAGGTTGCTTTCTTCATAATGACTGATTCATACACTGGAATTTTAGTTGTTCTGACAAATTATTAAAAAAATTGTTATGGTGATATCGCAGTTGAAAGAAAATGTTCAGAACGGTGTTATTTACACTTCATATAAGAAGTGAAGAAAAGGTATGAAAACCCCTAGAAATTTCGCGGGTTAGGTGATAAAACAAAAAAAACACAAATTTTTGATGAGAATACGACGACGAAATGGAAAAAAGCCCTATTCTATTTAGCGTATCATATTCAAAATCAATTGAGAAGTAAAATCATAAATAATAATGAAGAAGTGATTCATATGTTGAAAAATTTTAATTTTGGTAAAAAAAATTACAATAATAAATCTGAAGCAAGGGAAATGTAGAACGAAATAAATAAGAAACAACACCAGGAAAGAACAGGGGATGAAAGTTCAAAGATTTCAAAAAATAAATATAAAGGAATTTCTTACTATACAAATAATTGTGATCTACTTAGATGAACAAATAGATGAAGTTGAAATGTATACCAATTATTCTATTTTTTTAAGAGAATTTGAAGGAAACTGTGAAACAGTTTCATTGAATAATTTTGAAGTGAAAGCTTTATTTGATACAGGATAGAATACAGATTTAATAGAAGAGAAGCTAGTATGCAAATTAAATTTTCCAAAAATGTATGTCAACTTATCCATCAGAAGTTCAGGAGGAGTTACAAAATGCTTGTTCAAATCAAAAAGGAAAATTAGAAGGGGACAGAAAATATTTCTTAATTTTTCCTGCAGTAGTCGATAATTTACCTTTTGAATTAATAATTGTTGAGCATACCATACGAAAATTGCAAATTTTGAGGAGAAATTTATCAAATGGAAGTAAAAGAGTCAATGAAGACTATATTTCGAAACATATTCCTTTTATATTTCTGTCTGTCTGTTTAAAATCTGTTTTCCGTTAATCAGCTGTCGCCCCCATTCGAACGACAACTCTCAGAAGTTGAGAAACTTGTGCGAGCTAAGGACTAACGAGGTCTTACCTTTNTTACAAAACATGTTCCTTCCATAATTGATTAGGTATTCAGATAAAAAAATTATCACCATTTGAGGTTCATTTTGAATTGAAGCCAAATCCACAAATCATAAGATTGAGACCATAAAGATATTCTTCTACTATGCGAATGTGGATTAATAACAAAATAAAAGAAATGTTAGAAAAAGATATAATAGTTAAATCTAATTCACCATACGTTTCACCTTGTGTATTGACTTCAAAAACGATGGAACATTCAGGTTCTGTATAGACTATAGAAAAATCAATGTTGAAACGGTATTAGACCCGTTTCCATTTCCAAGAACTGATGAATTTATTGAAAAATTTGGCGTTTTTTTTTAAATTGGTTTGTTTGAAATATGGATTTTGGAACATAAGAATGTCTGAAGATACCAGGAAGTTTACAGCATTTGTTACCGAAGAAGGACACTAAGAATTCACGAGATTATCTTTTGGGTGAAAGAATTCAAGCGCTAAGTTTCAATTTATTATGCAAGAAATACTTGATGACTTATTAACTGAAAACGTTGTAGTCTTTATTGATGACATGTGTGGAGGATATACCAATGAAGAATGTGCAAATTTGACGAAACTCATTTCGAATAGGCTCGACAGAAACAATACGAAGATCACCTGAAAAAATATTCCATTTGTCATGGAAAAATAGTTTTTTGGGAAGAGAAATAGACCGAAATTGAAAAAAAAAGAAAAATGAAACTATTGAAAAAGTAAAAAATATGAGAAGGCCTATAAATCTGAAATCATTACAATGTTTTACTCGTTTAACAAATCATTACAGAAATTACATTAAGAGTTATGGCAAAATCGTTCGTCCTTTAGATCAATTGAAATGTCATAAGAAACCATTTATTTGGACAGATGAGTGTGAGCAGGCATTCAAAACACAATTGTACTGAGTCATCAACAGAAGCCAGCCGCACTTTGTTATTTTGGTCAGGTCACCTCAGGTTAGGTGCATATGACATACTCAAGTTAAAATTCAAGATAAAAACACCTTACCCCTCTTATGTGGAAAATTCGTCGCAAGTAATTTCCTGCATATGAAAAGCAGAAATATATTTCATTTGGTCGGGATGACCACCGATAGACTTGTAACGAAGTAATAGCTCCTCATCAGTACCGTGTGGGTCATTTCAGACTCAGTGAATCGTCCGAGTATCCCGAACAAAGTAAATAAATTCTCTGGGGTTGTCTATTGAAAGTAGTATCCGGCTGGGCGTGAGGTTGCAGCCCCGAGGCTGCTTGTCGCAGTCAGATCAGAGCCGGCGGGTGCTAGTCCACCGGAGTATCTATTGACTGTAGTATTTTCCAAAACCGGGCGAAATCCTGGGAAATTCGCGTTTCCTACATGTTGAAGTTCGAGTTTACAAATATTTCTCTATCCTCCAACTAAACTGAAAGACGCCGCGGGGGTGCAACTGGCCACCACGATGGCACAAGTCCGGACCAGAGGTTTTCCTACGATCCCTAAACTAACCGACACCCAGCCTATAGATGCGAACGGCCTCCGGAGGTACAAGGACGTTTAAAGCCCCCACTTACCAGTGTAATAGGACAGCCCATGTAGGCTGCCCTGTAAGTAGACTGGGTCAGCGTACCTCCAGATGTATTCGAACCTGGGTAGGTCGAATACGTCCAAGGAAGCCGACTGGTTGGTCACTCGATGCAGTCTCTGACTTGAGAAAGGCAAATCAGTTCCACCATATGTATAGATATGTCGAATTCTTTTGGGAAGTGAGATTCGTTTTTGCTTCCCGAATCTCGATCCATAGAAATCTGCTGCTGAAGCCGTCCTTTTTCAAATAATAGTTGAAGTTGTAAAATATTTTGTTATAATAATGGTGAAATAAAGTTGAGTTTGATTATTGTATCAGTGTATTCAATTATTAGTAAACCCACGGGGAAGAACGTAACAATATAATTACAATTTGCTGGGGATTCATATTTTATAATCATTTGCCATGCTCAAGTTTTCTGCATCGATGAATTTCTAAATAATCTTGAATTTTAATGAATGGAGCTCAATTAGGACACAGCCATATTTCGGTGTTTCGGTACTTTGTTAAGAATCACACGTTTCGGTACCGTGTTAGGAATCACACGTTAACAGGTAAGACCTCGTTAACCCTTAGCTCGCACAAGTTTCTCAACCTTCTGAGAGTTGTCGTTCGTATGATTTTTTTATTCTTAAGACTTCATATATGTTCAAATTGGATATAGGTTTGAAGTTCATAATTAAAATTATTTTGGAAAAGTGTTTGTTTTTTGTCATTTGCTGTTTTGATGTGTTTGCTGTATTTGTCATTTGCTGTATCACGGTACCTAATTATATATGCAAAATTCGAAAATTATCAAGTAGCACATTTTTCTTGAGTAACTGAAGAGTTTTTATTTTCTTGATGGTCTTCACATTGAAGACAAATAAATTTGTTTCTGCAATTTTTTTATGAGTGTTTGAATCGGTAACATTTAGATCATTTAATATCAATCTGTTACTACTATAAACGTTCAAGTTTTGCCAATCGATAAATAATTTTCCTTGGCTCTCCGATAATTATATCAAACAATTTTCCGTTGAATTTTACAAAAACAGTTGATTTATCTTATGTGGAAAATATTCCATTAAAATGATTTTAATGAAAGGGGTATATTTTCAGGCGAGATTACTTTTTGGAAAAAAAAGGTTTTTGCATCATCTTGTAATGTTGATGGTGCTGATGAGGCAATAAGACAAGGATCTTATCCAAAACATCGATCTCCATCACTGAGGATGACAGTATTTCATGTGACAGAAATTTTAAATCTTTTTCATATAGAATATCTTCAACATTTTTATAAAAAGATGGAGAAGTAGAAATCCAAAAGTTTTTTCTCACAATTTTAATCATATCACTTTTTTCTACAAAAAAAATTTCTTCACGAATTATTTGTTTCAATTTTTCATTAGATATACCTAGGTTTTTCTAGCAAAAGTCCAATAATTTCAATTTTAGGGTTTCTGACGAATTCTTTTCCTTAAACAAGTTTTCAATAAATTATGAGTGGGCTTTTTCAGAAATCATATAATTTTCATCGCTATTGATACAACTGATAAACCTGAACTTGACAGTACAAGACAAATTTTTCAATCAACAAATTTGGAACAATCGATTTATTTTGTTTTAGTGGCAGATACGGCTTTTCATTTAAGATAGGTATTGCAAAAATTATGTCAATGAGATTGTTTCACGAGCTCTAAAGAAAAGATACAATTTGCTGAAAAAAGAAAAAAATTTACCACAAGAATATCAAAAACTGAACCATTTTTTAAAAATATACCAATCGTAGCAGATGTAACTGAGACAACAGATCTGCATTATCGAATGCTTGCCGACCTAATCGAGCGTAAAGATTTGTATTAAAACGAACATACCTATTCTATTACTCTACTCTCAAAGTAATGATATATCTGAGGTTTAGTTCTGTCGTTCTGTGGTCGTATTGGTTGTGAGAATTGGATTATCGGCAACAGTGGAAAATGTTCTGTGTGATATAAACAATTCGCGTGTTTAGTTTAGTAACCTCAAAAATGAACTCGAAATACAGCCTACCTAACAGTAAAAATAATATTACAAAGTTTTCAATGAAGATGAAACCAACTCCAATAATTTTTGGAAATAAAAATGGACCCCCTAGTCCCAAAAAAATGAAAATGAATTCCAACGAAAATATGAATTCTTCTAATTATAATGGTAATTTTAGCCCCAGGCCCAAACTGAGTATTCAAGACCAGAGGAGAAAATTACCTGTGTTTGATAAAAGAAATAAGTTGTTGGAACTCATAAAAAGACACAAAACACTTATAATTTTAGGGGAAACTGGCAGTGGAAAGACCACTCAAATACCACAATACATTCATTCTGCTAGGCTACAAGAAAATGGAAAAATAGCTGTTACACAACCCAGAAGGGTAGCCGCTATTAGTATTGCTCTAAGGGTTGCTCAAGAATTTGGACAAGGGGTAAGGAAGTGAATATAAATAATACATTTCCTATTTCATAGCAATATTAATGATGTCAATGGTGAATTGGAACAGCACTTGAGTTTTAAAAAATAATGTGATGGATATTCGTGGTGGAGTTTTCAACTTTGTGTAAAATTAATATTGTTCGAAAAGAGGAGCAAAATCAGACTCTATCCAGACTATATTGAAAGGGTTGGAGACCTCACTGGAATGATGCCTTCTCTTCTCTTACATCTCAAGATCATACTAGCTTGCTGCACTTTGATCTAAATGCAACATCTTGTTATTCTTGGCTCATGGCCTCGAATTGGAGCACATGAATCTCAGACTTAATGATCCTTTACCTTATGGTGTGGGAAGTACCTTTTTGGGAAAAATAATGTCAAAAAAGTGGAATTTACCAAAAGTTGAAGTTCAAATTCACAGAAACAAGCGTTGCAGCTTTTTTCTTCCACTTACCGTTCTTCTATCAAATGTTCAGTAGAATATTCATTCCTACATTTATTCTCCAGCATTCTAAAAATAGTTAGGTCATAAAGAATATTCAATTTTTATTACAAGTTTCTTCAATAAATTTGATTATTTCAGATGCAAATTGGTGATGTGATAGGTTATTCAGTGAGATTTGAAGATGTTACGTCAACTAAAACTAAGATAAAATTTTTGACTGATGGCATGTTATTACGGGAGGCCATGTTCGATAAGTTGCTAATGGAATACACTGTTGTGATTTTGGATGAAGCTCATGAAAGGACTATACACACTGATGTTTTGTTTGGTATTGTGAAAAGGGCACAAAAGATTAGAGAAGATAAAAATCTTGCACCTTTGAAGGTAATACTTTTTTTATACGTCCTTATATAAGTAACTGTCTTGTAACTAGTCACAAGTAAATTTTCATTTCATTTTTTAGATATTAATTATGTCTGCTACAATGGATGTAGATCATTTTTCCAAATATTTCAATAATTGTCAAGCTGTCTATTTGGAAGGAAGGACGTACCCTGTGAATGTTTATCATACAATTAAACCCCATGATGACTATCAGACAAGTTGTGTAGCTACATTTTTCAAAATACATAAAGAAGCACCTGCTAAGTAAGTATAAATGTAAAAAAATCACCTTGAATGGTAATATAGATGTATGATTGACTTGATATTCTGAAGTTTTCTTAACTGAGATCTGATTTATGGTGAGAATCCTATATTAAATCTGAAAGAATACTAAATATAATAAAACTATTCCTTAAATATGATTTATAAATTGACAATTTAACTCATTTAGAAAATGCCAAAGATTAAAAATATTGGATCAATTATTGAAAAACAATCAATCTAAAAGAGTGGCTTTAGCAAACTGGAATTTTATAATAATTAAGAAATACATGTGAAATAAACTATTTTATAGTAACATGTATTTTTTTATATTGTAAATTTTATTATCTCAAGATTAAACATTGTATTTTTTTTAATTAAATTGATGAATCTTCAATAAATTCTACAACTGCATATTCATTAAACCATCATTTTAGTCATGATGTCTTGATTTTCCTCACTGGTCAAGAAGAGATAGAGGCATGTGCTCATCAAATTAGATTATTGGCAAAAGATCCAGATGTGCACGGACCCGCAGTTAAAGTGTGTACGTTGTATGCTGCCCAACCAAGTTCCCAGCAACTCAGTGTTTTCCACCCGGCTCCACCGAATACAAGAAAAGTAGTCATCAGCACAAACATAGCTGAAACAAGTGTTACTATCAGTGGTATAAAGTATGTCATTGATAGCGGTATGGTTAAAGTAAGGTATGTAGTGTTGGTTTTGATACTATCACTCACTTTCACAAATATTATTATTTTAGTGAGTGTGTTTGTTTCATTTATGTTTTCCTCCAGTAGGTAATTTTTATAATGTAACTTTCAGATCCTTTCATCCTTCCACTGGACTGGAGCTATTGAAGACGCAAAAGATATCACAGGAACAAGCATGGCAAAGAATGGGTCGAGCTGGTCGTGAATCTGAAGGTTACTGTTATCGAATTTACACAAGATCTCAGTTTGAGTTGATGCGGAAGGTTTCAATCCCTGAAATACAAAGGGCCAACTTATGCACAGTTGCCTTACAACTTTTATCATTGGGGATACAGGCCATGCAGTTTGATTTCATGGATAAGCCTCCTAGGGATGCTACAATGGCTGCTTTTGAACAGTTGACACTTCTTGGTGCAGTAGAAACCATTACATCAACCACTCTTACCCCTCTTGGGAAGAAAATGGCAAAGTTTCCTCTAGATCCTCGATTTTCTAAGATTCTACTTTCCGCGCATGATTTCGGATGCCTGGAGGAAGCTTTAACAGTAGTTTCTTTATTGAGTGGAGAGTCAATCTTGATTAATCCAACTAGCAAAAGAGAGCAAGCTCAGAATGTGAGGCAAAAATTCTGTTCTGCTTATGGGGATCACATAACTCTTCTGAACATTTTCAGGTAATAAATGACACCTTATGACATGCAGTTTTTGCTTTATTTCTCAATTGAAATTTTTTGAAAGTAGTATTAGTGAAGAATATTTTTCACAGGGAGTTTACAAATGTTGGACAGACCAATAAAAGAAACTGGTGTCACGAACATTTTATCAATATGCGTAACATTCTGCATGCTAGAGATATCAGAAATCAGCTAGAGGAGATTTGCAAAAAATGTGACTTGACCCTGAAGTCGTGTGGTAGTCAAATGGACCAGCTCAGAAAGTGTCTAGTGACAGGACTTTTCATGAATACTGCAGAATTATTGAGAGATCGACTGTATACAACCGTAAGCATTATATTACAATTACAAGATCATTCTTCTGAACATTCAATACTAACAAATGCTATATATGGATAATAACCAAAATTAACTTGCCATTGACGAATATGTCCTGTATACTATTAATAAGTAATAATAATGATAGCCTTTATTACCCAACAGTTAAAAACCATTTACCGGGTTAACTAAATATGTTAAAAAAGTAATATAGATCCTTATAATTACAAAGTTACAATTTGAGAAAATGAATAACAAAATTATTCACTTACTTTCGATCTAATGTGGTTGGAAAAAGACAAATTTTGATCAAAATATACACCAAGATCTTTAATTGACTGATTGACAGTGAAATGGTATCGATAATTGTACTTGATAATTGTAATGATATTTATCTTATGATAATTTTGTATTTGAATATAAGGGTGTATCTAACAAAAAGATCTCTACCATATACCAGAATTGTTACAACAGTTCAAGGATGTTCCCCTGAAAAATTATTTACCTACTATTCTATAAAATTTTAGAAATAGTTTGGGAAGTGCCTGGATGGCTCTTGGTGTCCAACTGTCCTGAATGTCTGTTATTGTAGAGAATTCACTTTTCATCGCATGTGCCGATCCTATCCAAAAAAGGATCTTTTTGTTGCGCAAAAGCAAAGAAGACCAGGCATTGAATTGTGACAATTTCTGTTGATCGTTCAAATCGTGAGGCATCCACTTTTCGAGCTCTGTAACCTTTTCAATACGAATTGAAGGGGTTATATTTTTAGGAGTGATTAATTTTAGGGAAAGAAAGTTTTTGGCTTTCTACTACTCCATCTCGATACAAAAAAACTGAGGGAATCTTCCAAAGAAAGGAAGGAAGTAATCAATTTACTTTCTTTGGAAGATTCCCTCATCTTTTTTTGTATCTAGATGGAGTAGTAGAAAACCAAAAGCTTTCTTTTCAATACGTTTTAAACTATCTATCAAAAACCGCATGGGAGCTGACGCCCTGTTTTCCGCCTTCCCATACACCGTTTGCGATGGGTCAGTCTCCACCAGGGTCTTCAAATCCTTGTCCTGGATTACTGTAGATTAAGTACTTTGGAGCTCAACTTCGTGACTGAAATCTCCGGAACAAAATTTTGTATACTAAGGTCGAAAGGCGTTCATTAACACAATTTTTGACAAATGCCTGGTTAATTTTTCGGGCTGTTTCGACTGCACTTTGTTTCAATTTGAATTTGTGGAGAAAAATTGGCCGAAAATCGTTCAACAACATCATATAGTAATAAGCTGAAAAGAGGCAAACATTAAAATATGGAAAATGACAGCATCAATGTAAAAAGTACAAAATTATCGATCAATCTCTAGATACCACGACACAGTAGAATAAATATTCATTGTGATATGTAGCTACATGACATAAAAACGAAGGAAAGTTTTGAAATAACCCAATAGTTACCAATGAATTAAAATATAACTGACTTGATATTGAAAATTTTAATTCAACTATAATCGGTGAAAAATTAGAATAGTTCAAAAAGTGACATATCTAAATTTCCAACTGGATAACATTCTGTCATTTGAGGATTGAGGATACTTTTTTTCAAGAATATCTCGAAATCTTACAACCGAATCTTGAATTACTGTATATAAGACAATTATTCAACCGCATTTCAATTACTGTTCATCTGTATTATTTCTTCTCACTGCATATAAAGTAAATGAACTACAAAAACAACAAAACTGACATGTGAGAATAATTTTATTAATGAATCACTACGTTTTCATTCAACTTCATGTTGATCTTTTCACAGTGGCTACCAGTTTCCAAATGACTTCATTATCGTAGAATGATATACATATTCAAAATACTGAATCAGATATTTTTAAGAATTGATTACTCATCAGAAAAAAGTTTAGTATCACCATACAAGACACGCCAATAATTTATATATTATATAAAGAACGACGCTAAAGTTTTTCGTAAACATAAACTATCCAGTAACGAAAAAAATAGCGCTTCACTAAACAATTTTGAATCTAGTTTAATAATTTTTATGTCACAATAAAATGTGTTTATTTTATTTTTTTATCTTTCAAAATTGTTGGTAACAGTGATTGTGTAATTAATATCTATATTCAATGTTTTATTAATTCTTTTGAAGAAACAAATATAATATTAATTGAAATATTTTCAGATTTGAAATTGGGTGGAATTTCTAAAAATTTTAATGGCTTCATTAATGACATGATGATTTTGTATATATCTGCTGTGGGTATAACCCTGGATCTCATAATAATTAAACCTCACGGTTTGAGGAATGATCCTTGGTTGATGAATTCAAGAAACACTTTTTTGTGAAATTCGTTAGTAGTTTATTGTATGATAGAACTAGCCGATACTTGATGAAAATCCATATCAAAAGCTAATTAATACAGTTTATTGTATGATTTTCGCTATAAATGGTTTTACAAAAACCGTGACATGTGTTTTACTATACAATAGCTTTCTCAAGCGTTAATAATAATAATTTTAAGTGAAAATCATTAATATGGATTTTTATCAAGTATAGGCCAGTTCTATTCAATTACTTTATTGTGAGAATTTCACTACAATTTTACAAAAATGCAATGTTTCGCTATACAATAGCTTCTTCAGGCGTGTCTATACGAGTTAGTATACTAGTTAGTATACTATACGAGTCAGTATAGACACGCCTGAAGAAGATATATAGCGAGACATGTGCTGCGTTTTTGTAAAACTGTTTACTGAAAATCTCACAATGAAGTGTTTCTTGAATACATTATGGATTTTCATCAAGTATTTGCCGTTTACATCACATATTGGTTGATGATTCCGGCATTATCTCCGAATATGTGAGAGCTTTGGGTTAGGGGTCGATCGACATAAACTATTAAAAATAAAAGATAGTAGTGATAAACCAAATTAATTCACAATTATAACAGATTTTCACAAACTGGCATAACCCTTTCAGTAACCGAATTTATTCACATTTATAACAGATTTTGACAAAAGATATAATTGTAAAGGATGAATTTTCAAGTTGTCCTTCTTAACTAAATTATAATAATATGTACACTTGGATATATTGTGTAGAACATTATTCAAATCTTTGTCCAGTATTAGCAAAGACCTGCTTTTACATATTTTGTCAGCAATAATCTTGTTTTTTATGTCAGATCTTGAAAATGCTTTGATCTTGATTTGATTTTTGTTGAACAGGATTGAATTGAAATGACAAGGGGCTATTCACATGAGCAAGTAGTTTTTTGGGAAAAACTTTTTGTTTTCTTCTACATCATTGAAAAAAATCAGGAAGGTTTAAAAGAAATGAAGATAAACAATTTATTAAATGATGGAGAAGAAGTAAACTAATAAATAAGCTCTTTCCCAATAAATGTGGAAGTTTCATCTATGGATTAGATTTATTTCTTGGTATTTAATAGTAGTTCGAGGCCGAAACGAATCCAGTATTTCAAGTTTTTATAGATTTGCTCACAGTTTCGAGTTGATGCTCCATTTTATCACCTGATCGTGAATTGTAAATCATTACCTTGTACAACCTGTTGTGCAACTTCTAGTTTCTTTGCACTTGGTAGTCCATCAGAATAAGGCCAATCTAAGAAGATAACTCTAGTATTAAAGATCCTCAAGAAAATCCTTATGCCAACATAAACGTTACGAAAGGCTTATCTAAATACTCTACTGGATTTCAGTTCACCAATATTTGAGGAATGTTGAAATTGATATAATTTTCTTCTGCAGTTGGACAAAAAGCAAGCAGTTCAAATCCACCCGAGCTCAAGTTTACACGGACAACAACCTGCCCTAATTTTGTTCACCGAAGTTGTACAGACCAGCAAATGTTATTTAAGGGGAATTACCACTATAGAGGCTGAATGGCTGAATGAAATTGCACCAGAATATCTAAAAAGTCATAATATAAGACTCAACAAAAGTAGTTGATAGTTGTATGAAAGTACGAATTTTGATATTTGTTAATAGTACCATGTACTGGCCATGATATAATAGTGAGTACAAAAAAGTACAGACTTGCCTGAAGCAAATTGTAAGTAAAATATGAAAGTGCTTTTAGGCCACATGGTATTTTGTTGTTGCCTTCAAATGAAGAAATAATTATTTTTACATCCAATTTCTGACAAGGAAAATTATAATTGGTATTAATTGTTAAGTAACTCCTAAAATGATTACCTCTTAGTTTAGGCATTGAATTTATATATTTTATTTTGATATAAGTCAATGACTTTTTTTTCATTTTTGCGTTATGTTGACTGTAAATGATGGTGTTTATTGATTTTGGGACCATGTTGAAAGTGTATGTGTAAGTTCAAGTTGGATTCAAGCATTTTATTGTATATAGATTTTTATTGTTTTTAATAACCAATACAATGACGAAATTCCTTTTTGTTTATTTTATATTTATTTTTCGTCCATACACCTAAAAAGGTGAATGGAAGGTACTTACTAAATTTTTACCAAGCCCAGTGTACAATGTTACAAGTTCGGGCTTCCATTGTCTAAAACAGTGATAGCAAATTTGGAATCTATGAAAGAGCAAATAAAGTACAAATGAATGAAATGTTAAGATTATTGAAAATACTAACAATAATCAGACTAAAATATTGGATTGAGTTAGTTAAAACAGAAATTATCTGTAGGGAAATCAAATTACTGTGATCTCAAATGAAAATGAATCAATAATGAGTTGAAAGTGAAATAAAGATAAATGATGAAAAATGTAAAGAGTGAAAAATAAAAAATAAAGGAAAAATATTTCATACCAAGTTACTTCATGACTTTTTGATTGTTAGTAAACTAATTATATTTTACTTTCCACAAGCAGGTCAAATTTCCATAGGCCGTACCTGATTAATTTATATTATGCACTGGTATATAGCACCATCAGCTACAATATCATTGTAGGGGAAGGTCCTCAGAAACTTCTACTAACCAGAAAAAAATTGTCTAAATAATATTTGAATCGTGTAGCAACACATTTACTGATGAAAACATTCACATCATTTTATTTATATAGATTGCTAACATAATGGAAAACTAAACAAAAACAGTGATACAAATATCTCACCAGAAAGAAAAATGACTTCCACTTGTATCTCATGCTCTGATCATGACACAAAAGGTCACCTTTATATTTTGAGTCACGTTTTACCAATCAAGTTGACGTCTTCCATCTCCTGGTGAACCAGGTGAACCAGTGGTGAACCAGCCAACTTGGTGAAATGCGCGTCAAGGCGAGTGTTTCTGTTCTGGGGTTTGGGAAAAGTGCTTGTTTCGGATTTATTCTTTTATCTTATTTTTATTTTACTGTTGAAAAGAAAGGTGAGTGTTCAAATTTCGCGGGCTACGTACATTCGATTAGCGATTTTTTATGTTGGTACACTCGTCTCAGACATATGTTTAAAATTTCTGCTGTTTAGCTTGTTTGGTTTGTTGCCAAGAGGCATAAAAGTTAAAAGGGTTTTGTGTGTTCGGCGACTTTCTACTCTCAAAAAAAAAAGAATCAAAGAATTTGCATAAAATTTTGTGTAAAAAATGAAATTGGGTGATTAAAAACACTTGAAATGTTGACAGTCACATACGGTGATTGTACTATGTGTCAGAAAAAGGTGGTACGGACTTTTCACAGAAGGTCGAGAAGATGTGAATGTCGACGCTCGCCCTGGCTTCCCAGCACATCAACAACCGATGAAAATCTTGAGAAACTGAAGAAAATTGTTATGGAGAATCGTTGAATTACTATCAGAGAAGTTGCTGAAGATGAAGGCATATCTGTTGGTTCATGCTATGCAATATTTTTCGTAAATTTTGGGCATCAAGCGTGTGGTAGCGAAGTTAGTTCCTAAATTACTGAATTTTGACCAAGAAAACCGTCGCAAGAGCTTCGCTCAGGATTTTTTGAATTATGTCATCGGCGATCCAGATTTGCTTAAAAGGGTCATAACTGGTGATGAATTATAGGTACATGGTTATGACATCGAAATCAAAGTCCAATCGTCCCATGAGAGCCAAGACCAAAAGAAGCACGGCAATTTTGATTAATCGTAAATTGTTTGCTCACTATTTTCTCTTATTACTGTGGTGAAGTGGTCGTACAGTCAATAAGTAGTATTATTTTAAAGTTATGCATCGCTTGCGAGAAGAAATGCGGAGAAAACGTCCAGTATTGTGGAAAAACAATTTATGGCTTTTGCATTACGATAATGCACCTGTTCACTCGTCATTGCTTGTTCGTAATTTTTTGGCCGAAAACAACACCTCATTCATGCCTCAGCCACCGTATTTATCAGATTTGGATTACGACTTTTTCCAGTTCCCAAGATTGATCAGACCCATAAAAGGACGGTGTTTTGTGACAGTTGAGAGTTCAGAGAGTTCAAGGACATACTGAACTACTTCGAGGTTTAGAAAAACCGCTGGCACAAGTGTATTATATATGAGGTGAACTACTTTGAAGTAGACAAAATAGAATTTGATAAATAAATAAATATTTTTTGGGAACACTGAAAATTCGTCTTATTTTCTGAACAGACCTTGTATAATTGAAATTTTACTTAGTGTTCAACCCATTATTCATTTATTTTCATTTCAGATCACATCAATTTGTTTTCTGTTTTAACTAACTCAACCGAATATTTCGGTCTAATTATTTTTAGTATTTTCAATAATCTTAACATTTCATTAATTTTTATTTTATTTGCTACTCCATAGATTTTCAAATCTGTTAACATCTCTTTAGAAAATGGAAGCCTGAACTTGTTACATTCACCATGAAATATTGTCAAATACAGTAGAATTCATATATAACGACTTTGCTCAACGACTAACCATTTTTAGCGACGATAATGTTTACTCAACTTGAGTTTCATACTTAGGTATTGGAAAATATAACCGTTTAGTGCGACTCCAGTTTAAGCGACCAACTGCTTTTAGCGACCATTTTTTTAGGATAATACGTCTAGTTAAAACGTCGCGCAATGTTTTGTTTGCACAACTTACGCACCAATATCAATATAATCGAATAAAAAAGTGCAATATTACACCGATTAGAAGCCGGTGAATCAAATGCAGCCCCCGCGAAGGAGTTTGGCGTATCTCATTCTACAGTATCCACAATTAAGAAGAATAAAGATCGAGCCGCTGTTAAATGTCAATGATTTAAGATGCAAAAGTGTAAGGACTTCTACTCATGGGTAGTTGGATAAGGCATTGTTACAGTAGTTCAAGCTACAGCGTGACCGGGGAATACCTGTTAGTGGACCTTTGCTACAAGAGAAAGCAATTTTTTTTGCTAGACATGCAAAATTTCACATGTTTCATGAGTTGGATAAACCGTTTTAAAGTAAGATACACCATCGTCAGTGGTTAGATTACCGGCGTGTCTTTGTCAGTTCAACAGAGTGATGTATCTGATTGGTTAGACAGTTTGGCCAACTCTACGTGCGCAATTTAGAGATGATGAAATGTTTAATGCAGATGAGACCGGGCTGATTTATAAATTAACCCCGTACAAGACGTTGAAATTCAAAGGGGAAAAATGTACAGAAGGAAAATTATCAAAGGAGAGAATAACTGTAATGGTGCCAGCCAACATGAGTGGCACAGTTAAAAAAACTTCTTGTAATCGGATAATTTCAACGTCCCCGATGTTATAAAAAGATACAGAATTTGCCATTGGATTATGAGAGCAATAGAAGAGCTTGGATGACGGCTGATATTTTCACCAAATGGGTACGCGCATGGGATCATGAACTTACGAAAAAGAACAAGAAAATCCTGTTGTTAGTTGACAACTGGTCAGCACATCCCCAGATTGTAGGCTTGAAAAGCATAACCCTGGTGTTTTTGCCTCCAACACGACATCAGTGTTGCAACCCATGGATCAAGGGATTATTTAAGCCTCAATGCAGCAATGTAGAATGTAGCATAACTTCAAAGCAGATGATTTTAACGAAGAAGACGACTTACCGCTGAGCATTTGGGCGAGGGCTATTGATAGGCATCAGTTACCCATAACAATTGAGGACTTTGAACAATACGCGTGTGTTGATGATGTCAAATCGAACAGCTAAATAAAAGACTAATGTACTCTTTACTACTAATATAGAAAACTGTAAGTTTATAAAAAATAAAATTGATTAAAAAAATTAAACCGCACCGCCCATGCCATACAAAGAAACTGCCGATATTTGGTTACTATTTAGTTCTTATGCCATTCGAATTGATTTCGTATATACTATACTTAGGAAATATTTTTGCCGTTCTGTGCGACATAATAACTGGTCCCTTGAAGGTCGTTATATGGGATTCTACTGTACTTTTAAACAGAGTGTCTCTGTTTATGTGTTTGAAGAAAAGATGAATGGTCTTTTGTCTGAGAAATATATTTTCATAGAAGACATGAAAACAGAGAGGATAACATCATCATAAAACATTTTAGTAAAATTTAATTCTGAAAATATTTTACGAAATTGAGAAAATTTGTGTTGTACATAGAATCTTGTTTCAGAAAAACCCATCTTGTTTTGATGGATATCCAAATAAATTTTGATTTTTTTAATTAAAGTGTGTTTTTTATATTGTCTACTCATACGAATAATCTTGTTGTTAATCTAGAAAAATTATTTTGAGTTTTATATTTTTCTTGGAAGCAACTAAGATAGGCTCTTAGGAGATACACTCGATAACCCCCATGTAGTGAATTGAAATTAAATCAACAGAAATTCAATGACTTACAAACTGTTCATCCGAATATCAACTCAAGATCAATTCCAAGTCTCATTTCAGTAGTGACAAGGAAAATTGACTGACTAACTATTATTAAATCTCAAAAGATACAACAAACTCGTCAAACAATCCACAAAAGTAGGGTTTTATAAAAACCAATATGTATTAATTCACCTATCACAAATGATTCCACTGTGATCTAAAAAATGGTAAGATCTTTGCTCTATTGACTTGTATGCAAATGGTGACATGTACCTTTTTTTGTTTTGAGTAGTAGAGTTATGGCTTTGCCTACACTATGATTCCTTTTCTTTGTGTTGATCAAACACCTGTGACTTATACAACAGCTGTCCAGGATTGAGTACTCTTGATTGTTTATATAACACATTACTGGGATAACGAGGAGGTTATAACGAGTTATATTATTCATTCAGTAAAAATAACTGGCAAGAAGCTGTTCATAAAGTCAATCAGGATTTGGAAAATCTCTCACACATGTCAGCTGCTCACAATCTGAAACTGAACACGACTAAATTCCAACTTTTAGTGATAGGTACGAAACGAAAAAGGACTGAAATTGAAGATCTGATCGATGTTCGACTTGGTAATGATACATCTTCGATAGTTAAGGAAAGCAAAAACCTGGGACTGTGGATAGACTCCTAACTCAGATTCCACAAGCATGTTAGTATAATTTGTCAGAACTCTTATAATATCTTACGTCAGCTGTACCGAAATAGAGACTTGATAATATCCAGGCTTGAACTGAAGCTTTGCGAAACACTGATATTATCCAGAGTATCTTACTGTGATATCAACTATGGGTTTGCCATAGTTGATATCACAGTAACGCCTCCAGAAAATTCAGAACAACTGTATACGGTTCTATTATGGTGTAAGAAAGTTTAATCATATCTCAGCTAAATTTGAGGAATCTGGCTAGCTCAGACTGATTGAAATTAGGCAACTACACCTTCTTGTTGCAACTCACAAATTGATATCTCACTATTCATTTGAAAGATACACAACATTTGAAACACAGAGTCACTCTAAAACCCGAAATCGTGATAAATTCATCATTCCCAAACACTCCACAGCTTGTTTCACTCGAAGTTTCTTATATAATTCAGTTGTCCTCTACAATGCACTTCCCAGTGAGTTCAGACACCACACGTTATATAACTTCAAGGAAAAACCGAAACTGCACGAGAAATCAGCTGGATATTTCAATTGGATACCGTTAATGCTCCCTTTTGTGGTATGTTATTGCAGTTTATCTTTTGTTTTTCTGTCTACTATTTTATCATTTATTTTTCAATTTTTTGTATAACTTTCAAATATCTTTTTTATAATTGTCTTTTTAACTAGGTTAAGTTGAAAAACAGCTTAAGCTGAACTTTGCCTTTCATCATTATTTTTGTTTTTGTATATTACGTTGATGAATAAAGCCGATTATTATTATTATTGTTTATGAAACACACCACTTTCAAAAATGTTCTTTGAATGACTTCCAGTGGGCGTATGTATGATTTGGATATCCAGTTCCATCCTATTATGCAGTATATCAAATGGCTTTGTACCAAACTGAAGTAAATGATTTTTTTTTCAATATAAAGTCTTTCAATTGAGTATAGCATACATTGCATTTTTTTAACTATACGGTAAATATGAAAGTCCCATTTCATGTAAAGATCTATGATACCCCCTGAACACTGGGGGTTATCATAGACCTGAAGATATCTTGAAGGCATTTTGGATAGTTATTTGATTGAAATGAGGAACTATAGATTTGTTAATACAAAATGGCGAGTGAAAGGTTTTGCTAAAGTTCGATAAAAATGTTTATGGTCGTACCAATCTTAAATTAGCTCTATATCTTTCTCTGCAGGTCCAGGGTCTAGAACCAAGATTGCTAAGAGTAAAGAACAACAGTATCGTCTTCAAAATTTATGCGTCCTGTGGATCCAATCGAAAACAATCCGTTCTCATAAATACTAAAAAGCAACAGACTCAGTTCAGTTCCTTGCGGCACTCCATATTCAACATTTCTCTTCACTGCTTTTCATATTCCTTATCCTCACAACTTATTTCCTATTCGTGAGATATGTATAACAATTTATGTGCATTACCTCTTATTCCAATATTTTCCAAGAGTGTACAGTAGAATTGGAGTGGTTAACCGTATCAAATGCTTTTGATAAGTCGATGAAAATCCCTAGTGATGGTTTACCTCTATGGAGTGCTTTATAAACGTAATTAGTGAGCTGTAATACTTCAATTTTTTAATAATTTATATTACTTGATAACTTATCAAATTATATTATATTGCCATGGAACTGCTTCCGACGGGCTATTAAAGTAGGCCTCAAATTAATTTCTCACTGCGATCCCTGAAGACTGCAGATCATAATCCAGGTAATAACTCAGAACAGGAGGCTGGTTCATCAGAACCCAACACAACAAAAAAATCACGTAAGCGGAAAGGAATATCACAATCTGCAAAAATAAAAGAAATAACAGATATTTTATCAGAAAGTGTAGCTCTACAAAAACAAGAAAAAGCTGGAGAACACATGGGAAACAAAGCATTCTTAATGTCGTTGTTACCTTTCATGGACAATATGCCTCAAAATCAGTTAACTGCAATTCACTGTAAAATTATGGAAGTATTCCAGATTTTCAGTTTTACACAAAATACATCATACTCAGCTCAAAATCAATCACAAACATCCTATTCCAGGTCATTTTTCAAAAATGTTTGGGAAGCACCTAATCAAGCCACCTATAATTATTCAACCCTAGACCTCTCAGCAATCTATGTTTACTACACAGCCACCATCAGTAATTCCAGTTCCAACTACATCGCCTGGACAGTATCTTGCTGTAATTTTGAAGTGACAATTTCACAAAATTCCCAACTTTTCGCTGTTTTTTCGACTTGGAAAAGTTGGGAAATTTCGGGCCATGAAGATAGAAAAAATAATAGTAGAAAACAATAAGCATAATATATTATTTAAGTGTTGTTTCCTTCCATTTAGATTGAATATATTCATATACATGGTGGATATGGTGGAAGACCAAGGACCTTGGTCTTTCAAAATTTGTTTTTGTTTGTGCATACCCTAACGGGCATAAGCATTCAGCCAATCTTTGGATAGCTAAGTAAGAAAATTACTATATTATAGTAGTAACTAATCCCTCGGCTTTCATTTTTTCGAAAGTTGGGAAATTTTGCTGGTGGGGTTGGGAAAATTTGGATTCCCTCCCCTCCTGGTTTTTCTTTTCGCTACGGCCCTGAATCAGATACTTCAATTTTGACAACTGAAATAGGGAAGTAACGATCTATTTGTCCAGCAGACACACCGTAACTATTCCTTTATGAAGATATTAAAGTTCAATTTGCATCTCCAAGCAGTTTTCATAGCTTTATTAGGGGTATATAATATATTTGTGGCAATCAAAATATTTAAAAAAACTGAGAGATAAACGTGTTCCCTAAAACAAATAAATTAAAATTTGTTCACTACTCAGATGTCATTTTTCATTTATTTCGGTTTTTATACTTCAGGATATTGGCTCAATTTCATATTCAAAGACTGGCCTTTGCTGACATCGAATTTTTTTGAATTTCTCATAATTTTAACGGAAAATTGTTTCTTCAAGTCATAGAAATTTTATCATTCAAAGAAAAATCTTTGCAACTGGCAACGCTGCTCAGGTGATCTGTTATATTATTATGTTGTATATTGGCAGAAATGGAATTTTCCAGAAAAAGTTGAATACTTCTGAAAAGTTGATCATTGGTTGTAATTGCATCACATTTCAACTCGAATATTTCACGTCAGTCAAAAGTATCGTCACATCCATAAATTAAATTCAAAGTGTGAGTAAACTTCTAGATTTCCCACAACTTTTTAAATTATTTTAGTGTATACATATTTAGAAATTTTAACCTTACATTATCCCCAGTATATTGCTGGTGAACATATTAGCATTTTTAATTGGAAATGGCTTTGATGTTAGCTTCGAGGTTGTGTAGAGCCCCAGTTTTGAAAAAATCTGGCTTCTTGAAACAAATAAAATTTGAGAATGCATCTCGAACGTTTGCAAATGATAGCCGAGATGCATTGGCCAGAGAGGCTCGAAAAAAACGAGCCTCCCTCAAAGAGAAAATTATGGCCCCAGCTGGTGATACAGGTATGCTTATTCAAAATTTGTAATATTGAGGCATATTCTCATTTAATCCATTTTTAGCTTTCAATATTGGAAAAGGAGCATTAGCAGGGGGATCTGTTTTGGGGCTCGGTGCTCTTTGTTACTATGGTCTTGGAATGGGATCTGAAGTTGGAGCTATAGAAAAACAACAGTAAGTAACTTAGATGAAAAATAGCAGTAATAGTGGTATTTGGAGATTATTGTCTCACAATAAGTATTTAAGTAGGGATATGTTTTTATATTACATATACCTATATATATATATTGATGAAGCTGATGAGTTGAATTCATATTGTGCCATTATAGTTATATGTATGAAATACAAAAAAAAATACAGCATCTATTGTTCCATATCTGGTAGGAGAATCTCTTGGATCGTTGTTAATTTGCAACTGAAACTATTTTCGAAGGAACGACGAAGGAAACGACGTTTCGATTGTTAGTATCCACAATCGTCTTCGGGTAATGACTGGACTTATTCCTCCGAAATCTGACTATTTATAGGTCATTCGAGTGCTTTCACCTATCCTCTCTTCCCTCTCGCCGTTTCCATATGCTACGTATATGTACGCATCTTGGCTAGATACGTTATTGGACAACATATATTGTAAATATAAGTTTCAATATAAATGCCACAATCATTCGAAAATTATTTGATTAGTTGATTTTTTGATGTTCCTGTTAATAACAAATAAAAAAAAACTTTCAATATAAATGCTGCTGGCATTTATATTGAAATTTAATAATAGGTAGTTCACTTTTTGAAGTGAACTGAGAAACTAACTTGTGTGAAGTAACACCAGAAAGGAATTTCAGGTGTTTTGGTTTGCTTTATTTTTGATCCAATTTGTTAGGTTGTTTTGAAAAAAAAAATGTGTGCTAACGAATACTCAGTATTCCTCCTGCAATTATTTTAAGCCTTTTCCTGCTCTGTTGAAGCAGATCAGTTCTTTCTTTACACAGTCCTTCGGCAAACATTTTCCCTTGGGCTTTTCCAAATGCTTCAATTTTATCCAACGCTGGATTCAGCATTAACATCCGCCACCTTCAGTGGTTTCAATTACTGGAAGCTGGTAGCCCTACTCACAACTTGCTTCTGGTGAGGTTGAATTCCTTTTCCAAAGAAAAAGTCTTTACTATTGCACTGAATAAGCCCTAACTGTTTGATTGCATTTCAGTCTATGGCCACAGTACGTGAAAGATCGCATCAAAACTACTTATATGTATTTTGGAGGTTCGATAGTTGTCACAGCAGCAAGTGCTTTAGCGGCAGTCCGATCCCCATTTATAATGAATATTGTTATGAAAAATGGATTTATGGTGAGCTATTTTCATATAATTTGATAAAAAAATGTTTGTTTTATTTGAAATCAAGCCAAAACTATATATTGTCATATGTTGAAATATACAATACACCTTATTTCTAAGAGAGTATACAATATTAATACACATCACAGCCCAATCTTCCCAGATCTCTGGGAAGCGGATGGTGGGAGAAAGTCCAGAGGGAAGAGGATGGTGGTAAGAAGTTCAGAGGCGAGAGAATATAAAGAAAATATTTGGTTTTTGGATGTAATTGGGGGAAGGATAAAACACAGAGCTCTAAAGTCTTTTTATAATTCAAATCATGTGTACATTTTTTTATTTTCAGGGAATGGCTATCAGTTTAGCTGCAATAATGGGTACTGGAATCTTGGCTCAAAGCATTGAGTATAAAAAAGGGTTTGGGGCAAAGCAAATGGCTTGGTTGCTCCACACTGGCACATTGGGTGCAATGCTGGCACCTATGTGTTTTCTTGGTGGACCCTTACTGATTCGTGCTGCTTGGTATACTGCAGGAGTGGTTGGAGGTCTTAGCACTATTGCTGTAAGTCATTTATCCTTTTTAGATTAATTGGCATACAACTTACAAATTTTTACACCCAGGTATGTGCTCCAAGCGAGAAGTTCCTTTATATGGGCGGTCCTCTAGCTATGGGCCTTGGAGTGGTTTTTGTGTCATCCATTGGAACCATGTTCTTACCACCCACTACCGCTTTAGGAGCTGGACTTTACTCCATTAGTTTGTATGGAGGTCTTCTACTGTTTTCTGCATTTTTGTTACACGATACTCAAAGAATTATTGCCCAAGCCGAACGCTATCCCTCTAGCCCTGAATTGTATGGAGTTAAACCTTATGATCCAATCAATGCGTGAGTACCTTTTATTGATATATTTTTTTTAAGGAAATTATATTCAACTCCTGAAATTCATTAGTGTCAATATATGTAATATTGGCTCATAATGAAAATAATGTTTAATCAACAAGGACTTGATAATAGGCAATTCAACATTATATAAAATAATGAAATAAACATATGTACTCACAGGAGCAAATTATTGTTTGTGCATGAGAGGAACGACTTGAAAATTATAATACAGGTACAATATTCATCATAAAAAGAGCAATTATATGTGAAAGATGAGGTTGGTTTGGATACAATGTTGAGCCATACTGAATTTTTCACAATCAAGGAATCAATCATTATAGGTAAATTATTTTCACTATTGGAATAATTAAGTGTAATGCAAAAAATACTAATTGGATTAAGTTTATTTTTCAATTATTTAAATTTTAATTTTGACTAGGTCTTTCGAGAAAATTTTATTGTGTAAAGGATATGTTTTTTCAGCTTATTTATGAATCGATTTTTATTTCTTATCAATTTTTAAGTAAAGGCAAGGTGTTATATAATTTTATCTCATTAATACCTTAGCACCTTTAGTTAGAGAAAGTTTGGAGTTAGAGGTTTAGAATCAATTAATTGAGAATAAGGTGAATTTTCATTTTCCTCAAAAAATATTTATTTATTCATCAATTTCAATTCTGCCCCTCCCAAAGTAGTCCCGCTCAGATATAATACGCTTGGTTTTTTCCAATTTTTGAATCAGTTCTGATATGCATCCTTTTGGTATGTCTTCAAGCTCTTTTAGCGATTCGGTTTTTATCTCCTCAATCGTCGCAAAACGCCGTTATTTCATGGGTCTCTTCAATTTTGGGAACAGGAAAAAGTCGCAAGTTGCTTTATCTTGTGAGTACAGTGGCTGAGGCATCATTAAGGTATTGTTTTTGGCCAAAAAAATTACGTACTAGCAATAAGTAAGCAGGTGCATTATCGTAATGCAAATGCCATGAGTTTTTCCACAATACCAGACGTTTTCTTCATATAACTCCAAAATAATACTTCTTATTGACCGTACAACCATGTGGCAAGAACTTCTGATACACTATGCCATACAATTGAAGAAAACAGTGAGCAAAACGTTGGCATTTGATCGAACATGGTGTGTATTTTTAGCTCTTCCATTGAGACCATTGGACTTTTGGTTTCGATGTCTTAATCATATACCCATTAATCGTCACCAGTTATGACCTTTTTAAGCACATTTGGATCGCCGTTGACGCCATTCAACAATTCCTGAGTGATGCTTGTGTCATTTTTTTGGTTAATTTTGGTTCGAACTTCGCTGCCACACGTTTCATGCCCAAAATTTACAAAAAAAATGTATGTTATGAGCCAACCGATATGCCGACATCCTCAGCAACTTCTCTAATAGGATTCGACGTTTCTCCATAATTATTTTATTCACTTTCTAAACATTTTCATCCGTTGTTGATGTGTTGGGGCGTCCAGGGCGAGTGTTTTCATTCACATCTCGACTTTCTGTGTAAAGATTGTACCACTTGTAAACATTTTTCTGACTCAGGGTACAATCACCGTACCACTGTGAACAATTCAAGTGTTTTTGAGCACTTAATTCAATTTTTTACACAATATTTGATGCAAATTCTTTGATCCATTTATTTCAATACAAGAAAATCGCCAAACACCTAAAACACTTCTAACTTTTATGCCTCTCATCAACATACTAAACAGCAGAAACTGTGAACATATGTTCGAGACCAGTGTATGAGCATAAAAAAAAGAAAAGAAAACACTAATCAAAAGTATGTAGCTTGCAAACTTTGAACGTTCACCTTATTTTTTTAACAGTTCACTAAATCACCAGTAATAAGTTATTGGTGGCGTGAAATGCCCTCAACTAAACATCTGTATTCAGGGCAGCTGTATTTAGCTTAATAAAACCCTGAATTTCAGAAATCACAGTATATATGTTTCTAAAAGTTGAATGTACATACTAAAGAACCTACATACTGTCTTACATGAGCAACACTTTATTTCTGTTTATTATGTACAAATAGAGACCATCTACAATATGGAGTAAATTTCTGAGTCTATTCCTCTTATGCTTATAAAGTATTCTTGGTACAAAAAAGAATCATCAGAACAATTTCAAATTTAATACCCATTCTGAATTTTGTTTAAATAAAGATTGAAAGATATGCTTGTAAAAAAGTTTATTTATTCTTTTTGTCTCAAACCGACAATGAAAATAATTTATATTCATCCATTTCTTGAAGTATTTTTATTTGGTAAAATGATTTCTGTGTATCCGACGAATCCCATACAATGTATGTTGTCGAATGGTTATTAAATTATTATTATCAATTTTATTTCTAGAAGGAGCCTTATGACAGTTTCCAAATGGAAGCTACTAGTTGATCAAAGTTACAAATGTTTATGGTATTATTTCTACCATAAAAAATATTAATGTAGCATCCTTTGGTGTGGTGTTTTTTGACATTTATCCTCTATCTGAGTGATATTATTTTCTTAGTATAAGATTGAGAGTTCTTTATTTTTCATACAGATGACACTTTTGTAGCAGAAAGTGTTGAAAATCTCAATTGGCCATTGGAACCATTGACGTTCAGTCTCCATAAACCAAATGAACAAAAATAGAAACAGATACTATTTTTGAAAATATATGAAGACAATTGTTGATGCCATAACAGTGGTTTCAACATTGATGTAGCATCTCATTGAGAGATAATGGAAAATACAATCATTTTAAGAATGAACAAATAGAAAAAATGGAATAAATTAAAATTGGTCTGGCCTTTTGCATTCCATGGGTATTGAAAATCGAAAAAACTTGAAGTAATAACGAATTATTTTTTATTTGTTGAAATTTTGATGATTTATTAGTTCTTTATGAATGCCTCTCTTGTTGAACTGCCTTAAAACATTTCTCATGCATTTTTTTATTGCAGTTCCATTGGCATTTATCTGGATACCTTGAACATCTTCATCAGAATTGCCACCATTTTAGCAGGTGGTGGACAAAATAGAAGAAAGTAAATGGATTTGATATTCTGTTAATTTATTATATTTCTATGTATTTTCAAATCTGACTTTAGTTTAATAAACTGATGAAATGCTGTGAATTGTATATATTAATAATAGGATAGCAGTAAGGTTAAGAAATGAAAAAATATCATAGTGGTATTTTTATTTAAGCTTTTTGTATTCATAATCATTGAATTTTTGTTATAATTACAATAAATTACATCTGTCCATACTAGTATTTCTTCCTTCCATCATCACAAACATGTTAGATCCTGTGTTATAAGGTTATTATGTCTTTGGATACAAGTGCAGTCTTAACGGAGCAGTTAAAGTTAGTGATGTGCAAATGAACTGATTTGTATGGCACATTGATATACAACTTTGCTCAGATTCTTTTTTTCAAAATTACATCCCTTTCCACAAAGTTGGCCGGTAGTCAACAACTTGAGAGCTTGTTCAATTGAAGTTTTCATAATGTATCAAAAGACTAGAAAGTTTTTTGTTTAAAATAATCACCTAGCAAGTGGGAACTAAATAACAGTTTTTAATACAATCTCTAAGATTATGCCAACAAAGTTTTTGTCTTTGAAAAATGCCCTCAAACTGTTGATTATCATGTTTCAACTATGTCTAGGAACACATTGCAAATCTCAGCTACCTCTTCAAACAAAAGTTGAAAATACTTAAACGGTTAATGATATATCGAAATATTTGGTTCAACATTGAAGTTTTTCTCAAGCCGATAATATTTAAAGACAAGATAAGTAATTCTACACTAGTTATATTTACAGTAAAAGCTTCAGTCAATTGTATTTTACAGAATTGGTGTCTACTTACCATCGCTAAATTTTTGAAAAACGGAAAATTACATATACAGGAATAAAATTTATTATCATTTTTGTGTACTTCACATGAGAAATGACAAGCACTAGAGGTCGTTAAGAACTTTTCATGATCAACGGTTTCATTTATTGAGAAAGAAAGAATTATTGAAGAATTCATCAGTCATTGGAAGGGATAAACAGTTTGAAACTAACACTAGTGCTTAACGATACTAAATGAAAACATTTTCACATTTATATTGATGACTTCAAGAATATTTCTGTTTTGGATCAGATCTATCAAGTACATATATTTCAATTTAAAAAACACTGACAATAATTTCTGCTTTTGCTAACAAACCTGATCCAATTTCTTATGAATTTATCAGTTTTGTGAACAATAATGCAAATATCAATACATACAATTTGTTATTTTCATAGCTTTTTCAACTACTTGGATTTTACCGAAACAGCAAATAAATACTTATTTCATAATTTCTGTTCCGCGAAGGCGACAAAAATAAAGATTTTATGTTGATATATTATCCTGAACACCCACACTGTTATTTTCTTCCTAATAAACTCAGTTGAGTTTTCCACTCAGCAGAATTGAACAAAATGCTTTCTGAAACTTTTTATAACCCCATCTATGAAAAATGTTGTTTTTATTTATATTACATAAAAGTGATGATTATCCAACATCAGAAAAACTACTTCTGATATGTTCAAACGTATAAAAAATAAATAGCTTACTAAAATTAATATCACCTAGCTATCTGCTGAGAATTAAAAACATAATTACAAGATCATATTATGATGCTATGAATTGAAACTGAAAATATTGAGAAATATCAATCAAATAATATCTAAATTCAAGTTCAAACCACAAACAGCTATTATTGATTACAGAAGGTTTTGGTCAAGTACAAATCAATAAAACATATGTATTCACAATTCACTAAAACAGTGTAACAATAGTTAACACATTGGCATTGTTTAATAATTTAAAAAAACAATATTTGGAGTTGCTGAGAACAAAAAGTGTTGATGAATTAATATTAACATGATCAAAATTATAGAGATATGTGTTATACGACCTCACAATTCTCAGTTTGAAATAAATGGTTAAAAGAAGTAGTGAAGGGTAACATTTTTTCAAAAACAAACAGAAGTGGTGAATCTACCAATGCCCTGAAGAAATATACTCAGCTGAATATTTTGCTGAGAGTTATTATTTAATTTAACAAAGAAAAGCATATTTTTATTTGTATCTTCAGATAAACAGAGATGGCCGGTAAACCCACTCAATTAATAAATAAAGTGTTTTGATTTTCCAGAAGTATGAATTACTTTGATTTTATAGTGGCCTCACTCCTCCTGGGTTACCCTTTTGAGGTTTCACATTTATTAAATGTTATCACTCTTTTAATAATATTATGAATAAAAAGTAAATAACTTTCATCTTATAAAACTCGTCAGTTAGAAATAGGTATTTCAGAGTATTTTCTGAAAGATTAATCACAGGCCTTTTTGAATTTATGAGATAAAGTCTCCAATTACTTCAAGAATACTTTAGTTCCCAAAAAATAGGTACATGTTATGAAAGGGGAAAATTGGTTCATTCTTGACATTTATGGGTTTTCACTCTCTCAAATAGGAATCATGCAATCATGCAAGAATTGAAAGCGACATTGCCAGATAATAAAAACAAATAAAAGTTTTTTAGATTTGAAAATGTAACAAATAATTGATTTTTGATATGGATCCTAAAACTTAAGCATTGACAAGTGATTATAGTATTATTCGAAGCTACGTTGAACTCATTCAAAGAGTTACCTCTTCTCATTTTTATATTTCTTCACACTACTAGGGTATTTCTGACTTCTAAATTCTTGTGATGTCCAATAGAGGGCCCACAAACACCCCCGAAAAAGCTACAAATGCTGGCCAAATACCAGGAAAAAAAATTGAGATATGACCTCCCTAACTATGATCTTATATTTGTACAATAATATTTCATTCCTTGAATAATACTAAATAAATTATATATTAGTTATTCAAAACAAAATGGGTATATAAGTTTAAACTTTTACTTTAGTTTAATAGTCACTTTTAATCCTTTTGCTAAATATTTTTGAAAAAGTACATTCACATTGTTTTAAGCCTGTAATAATTTTTTCTGGCATTTTAAAGATGTTCTGAAGACTTTCTGGAAAATTTTAGCAAAATTGTAACACAAAGAGTTAAAAATAAGCTAGATGAATATTTATTTATACAATAATTTTACAAAAACTAACAGTTTTTTGAAAAATTGAATAATTTGTTTTACACATTTGATTTTGAATAACTTTTTAGTTTTAGGTGAATGAAAACTAATAAATGCCAAAAATTAGACAAGCATCTTCTCAAATATCATTTAGGCATTGAAAAATAGTTTTATTTATTGTCAAATACTAAAAATTTCATGTGGGTTAGTTGTCAAAATTCATAAATGCCAGTGATTATTTATCTACAGTTTTCTGATTTTTGGAATCAATGAATGATATTTGTTAAGGATTAAAGTGATGGTCGTTTTATTTTTGACAATCCAAAAAAACTTGAAAAACAAATTTTTCCTATTTTGATTGTTTAATTTTACTCATCATTTTTTGTGCAAAGACCAATATCAATTAAATCAGCATTGACAGTTATGACAGAAATTATGATTTCCAACAACGAAATATAAAACCGGGCCACAACTTTTATCTTTATCAAAATTCATTATATGACCAATTTAACTGTTACTTCATAATTCAAAATCCGCTAACTGAATAAAGATAAATCGAAAAATCAAGTTGGCAAGAATATTGAATAATAGGAAATGTAAATAATCTTTGTGATCTGCCTTTCAAACTGTTGTTTTGAGTATGCCTTCTGTATTCACTACAAGTCTAAGATACCAAAGTACTACCCAAATAACTCTTGGAGTAATATGTTTAGCACTACTCACAATGTGAAATCAGGTGCATTAGTTATATTTCAGAATTTCAAACCATTGAGGCATACATTATAAGCTAACACTTTTCAAGAATGACGATCAAGGGAATTTGGCCATCCAATGTGGTGTTATCACCAGCACATAGCACCCTTTTTTCACTACCAATCAATATTCAATTTGTTATGACCTCATTAATAATAAAGGGCGTTTTTGCTGCCATCGACTTCAGTAAAAATTCTTTCAGCTAGTAGAAACATTAATTCAATTTGGTAGTTCAAGTGTCGAATCTAATCACCTTCAGTCCACTGCACCCGATTTCTAACATTTCCTAATCTCAACGACAAGAAGCGATGAGCCTAACAGGTCTCATGAAAGTATATACAAATGAAAATGTGATACTCAACAAATTTATTTCTTAACTAAGCTTGCTATCCTGTGTAAGTGGGGTCTAACGGAAACATTCAGAGCTGACAGAGGTGAAGACGGTGCCGGTGAGGGTGGAGTGTTGTTGTTCTTTGTTGGGACAAGATTGTGTCCTTTGATTACTTGTTCCTTCGCGCCCCTGCGAAAAAATGAAAATTATACATAAATACTTGAGTGAAAATATAAACTGAAGGAGAGCATAATTTAATAGAAACAGCACAGATGAAATATTTCAAAGAGATGGGAATAGAGGTACTGACGGTGAAAACAAGAAGTTTTGAAATTAGGTTGTTAAGAAAGTTCTTTCCAAAATATTAATTCAAATATAAAACAATCCATCAATTATATATTCACTGTTTTGGTTGATTACCTACTTCCAATACTCAGGCAACTTCATAGCCATCTCAGTAGAGTTCAGGGATCTTGCACTCGAAAAATGATTTGATGACGTCTTTGAGTTGAACTTTTTTCATATAGAGGATTTTGAGGAAAACTGAATGAATGATGGTCTGAAAAGGCTATATGCCGACTATGAAGTGTGAGTGGCAACATCTTCCATCTAAGTTCAGTTATTTTTAGAAGAGTGATTTGTGCACATCAAACAGTTCCATATGAAGACATGGGAACAGCCCATTCAGTTTCGGTTGTGAACAAAACTGTGTCCCATAGAAATTATATCAATTCATTGAAACACTTTCACAAAAAGAACTTTCTTAACAAACCAATAGGTATTTAAGATTACCAATATCTATAAATATTCAGCTTTGAGAGTGTATTGTTTCTCATTTTTGAATTGATAACTAATTCATTCAAAATTCTTGCCAAAGAGATCTAATAATTAAAAACCGCCAACTACTTCGATCGGAGTATACGAGCATTTATCAGCGATGCCACCCACTCGATCGGAGTATTGTGTATGCCTAACTTATAGTTGGTTATGCCGTTTTTATTTTTTGTGTCGTTGAACATGGACGCCAAACCTGGACCTCCTGGATTGCAGAAAAAAGAACGCAATTTACATGTGTATAGTAGGAAAGCACTCACAGATGAAGAATTATTGCAGTGTTTAGAAGATAGCAGTGGTGACGAATGCCAGAGTCTGAAGACGAATATTCCTCCGAATCAGACTGGTGATGACCAGTCGTTAGAAAATATTCCAGTTTCGATTGTAAATACCAATTCAGCTTCGACTAATGCGCAAAAGAAATTCGAGTGGATAAAAACAAGTACATTAAAAAAATCAAGAGCGATTCCGTGCAGAGGCAGACCTATAGATTTTTTCAGACTTATGATTGACGACACGAATTGCAAAAAAAACGAATAAAACATAACGGCATCCAAGAGAACCTCAAGAATATGGTCGGCAGTCAACCTGTTAATGAATTCAATGAAAGAGGTGAACTATGTATTATAATTGGCAGTATCAATAATGACAATATCCTTTTACTATATTATTAAGGGTTTGGTCCGAAAGTAACCAATTGATAATCGGTACTCACCGGAAATTTTTGACAGCAGTTCTCTAAAATACTATCAATTAGTAGTTTCTTTTGGAACTGCTGTCATTATGAAAAATGACAGCAGTGGATAACCCCCCAATAACACTGATATTGAAATGTAAAACTAAATATCTACTTTTGAAGAAAGGTAATTACTAAAACGGGAAATCTTAGTGAAAATAGTTGATCAAACTTCTTTAATGCAAATAAAAACTAGGATATTGATTGATTGTCACATTTTGAACAGTATGACAACAATGAACTTTAATACGTAACGGTTTATTCATATTTAGAAATACAACTGTTAGTACACAAACATGTGATAATAGTTTGGAAGCCATAAGTTTGTTGGCTCCCAGCGGGTATATTTCCAGAAGTAACTATGTCATTATTAGTAAAAAATTTTTTAGTTTAGAATTGTAATAACATACTTACAAATATCGTGTCAAATCTTCAATATCAACAAGCATAGAATCCTGTTCCATGTGAAGATCATCCCTATTCATCAGAAACTTGACCAAGCTTTCATTCAGAGTTTCGATTTGAGTATGGAGATCATTAACAATGACTTGTAGCTGAGCTACGTTCATATCGGTGAGTATTTGCCTGGATAAGCGTCTTTTGTCCTCAGGAAATGGAATACCAACCTTCTCCATGCTGTTCCTGATCATTTCCGTGATAGGACTTTTCTTCTGTCTTTGTTTTTCAATCTGGAAGAAGATAGTAAAAAATTGTTTTTTTTTGAACTATGAACCTAATTATAATAGAATCTATAATTTACTAGTGGTTTGGTATTAATGTTATGTATTTTCCGTATCATTTTTACATGTAAAAAAAAGAAAACGATAGTACATGATATACACCAAGTCAAATGAAATATTAACAAAAATGAAAATTTACACATCTGTCCAATGTGGTGAAAAATACTCCAGTGCATATGCACTTTTCCAGTCTACATTTGTATTAATTCAATTTTGCAGAAGATTATTGACAATTTTCAGATCTAGAATTTAGATGAACAAGAGTTGGGAGTTATTATATGATATCAAAATTACTCTGAAGAACAGGAACCTCTGGTATAGGATGAATTCAACACATTTTTTTCACACATAATCCTCTACTTGAAGCTCATTTTGCCAAAATAATTATACTGTATCTTAAATTAGATTTGAGATTAATAATTGATAATAATTTGGTTTGTCTACTGTTATGAATATGAGTATTATTGATTTCTATGAAATTAATGTTTGAAATTTTGTTATTGAATAAAGAAAACAACAAACTTTTTGTTTGTATAGTGTGTTCAAATAAAATAATATTTTTGGTTTATAGGTTCTGAGTACAACAATTTATATATGCATTCAATAAATAGTTTTATTTTATAAAGATCTCAAAGTACAGTGGATTTATTGGATGCCATACTAGATTTTGTAGAACAAACAGTGGTAGCCTTTGAAACGTCGTCGAAATGTCTAGCAGTTTTTATTGACTTTGCAAAAGCATTCTACACGGTGTCACATGACATACTACTGAGAAAACACTTTGCATATGGCATACGAGGAAACACTTTACAGTTGATGCAAAATTATTTGTCACAGAGGACACAGAAAGTAAAAATCGATAATGAAATCAGTAGGCAGTTGAATATATTTGTTGGTGTACATCAAGGATCAGTCTTGGGACCAATTCTGTTCGTTGTTTACATAAATAGTATTACACAGATCAGAGATGTTCAGGGGCTCATAGTTTGCTATGCTAATGACACAGCCTTAATATTTGAAGGTGAAACATAGCATGATGTTTTACAAACCACAGAAATAGAACTGCAGAAAGTACTGATGCGGTTAAATGATAATTTACCGAGTTTGAATGTTAAATTGTGAAAAATGTCAAAAAGTAGTATAACAACATAATACAATACAGATTTAAAAAAATTGTTAGATATTCACATAAATATAAATACACTTACATGTTTACATACATAAATGCACATTAGTTTGCATATACATGAAAAGCATATTGCCTACATATTCCATTTAAAATTAAAGTTTCCTAATTAAAAAATTCTTCTATGGTGTAGCAGTTTTTGCGGAGTAAGTGTTTTTTCAGGAGATTTTTGAAAATTGTTAAAGAAGCTGCATTCTTTATGTGATCTGCCAGAGAATGTCTGCAGCCGTTTGTAGTAGATTTGCTTTTTCTATGAATGTTATTGCAACTGCAACATATAACTACTGCGCCACTAACACAACCATCAGCTTGTGTTAGTGGTGGAATTGTGGGTTTTGTAAAGTTTTGATTAACAGCTTTAGCTACCGATCAGAAGGATCTAGACCTGTTGGGATTGGCAAGCAGTTTACCCCTAATTCTCTGATTGTGAAGTTGTTTGCTTTCATTTATCTGAAGTTTGCAGCTGTTACCAGCATTAACAAACCTTGTTCAGTTTTTGGCGCTGGGTTTTTGAGCCACTACCGGTAGGCGAGATTTTTGGAGACAATTTTTGTTGAACTAAGGTTTACTGTTGAAGTTCATTTCATTGAAAAAGGAATATATGCATCCATGGATAATAGAATAACTTCCGTGACTTCGGAAGCATTAGTTGATGGATCATTAGAGCTGAAACCAACATCTAGTCAGGGAAAATTTCGGAAACGGTCTTGAAGACCCTCCCACTCAGCAAATCTGTAATGTCAAACTTTGTGCGGCTTAGATTGTTCACCAATATTTATCGGTAATTCACTCAATACTGAAATGAGTTTGTGGTCAGAAGATCCCAATGAAGACCTTACGGTGACTGTAAATTTTTAATTGGTTGTTAGAAGACTGGCATATTCTCCATCACGGTCACGAATCCTGGTTGGCTCATTTAAAATCTGAGTAAGTCCGCTTCTTATTGCAAAAGCCTCAGCTTAGCGACCTTGTTGGTCTTAATATTTGAAAATTTGAGTCATTCGATATTATGGACATTGAAGTTACCGAATATGGAAATTTCGGCACTGGGATGATTGATTTGCAGAAAGTCAATGGTGTTTGCAAGTGAAGAGAATAGTGTCCTATATTGTGTATCGCTAGGTGGTCGATAAATGCAGCATATGAATTTAGTGATCTTCTGTGCTAGTAACATTTCAGTCTTCTCTGGACTTCTCAGAAACAACGATCTTTTTTCCAATATCGATATCCAAAAAAATCTTTGAGTGTTTGGAGTCTTACTTTTAGTAATAAAAGAGGAAAACAGTTGAAAAAAAAGAAAAGGAGATTCATTCGTAACAAAGAGAGAAAAGAAATATAACATCAGAGATGAATCAAACTAGTAATCCAGAGGCATTTATAGAAGTGAAAATGTATTTGAAACCCTTTACGTTTTCCTTGAAAGTAAAGAAATTATTGTTGATAAAAAAATACAAAATAAATGACCGAATTGGAGTATAAGTTTTGTGAGCATTTTCACCAAATCTGTCACAAAGGAAAATATTCAATTTGATCACAACCAACTTCCAATAATTCACTTACTTCCATCTGCATCCTAGCCATTTCTTTAGCCTGTGCTAGAGCCATCCTGGCCTCCGTTTGAAGCCTAGCCTGCCTTGTGAAGAAATCCGCCTCTGTAAGGGGTTCCTTGACGGGCTGCAGTAGAGGCTGCCCAATGGAAAGCGTGGCTGGCCTAGAAGGGGTTGGCAGAATATTCTTATCTTGGTAAGAGGAGTAGAAAGTTGACGTTTTTGGCAAGACTCCATTACAAATAAGATAAATGAAAAATGTCTAATCATTGTTTTTGTTATGTTTTTGACAAGAAAATATTCCTTTTGTATACGAGGGTGGTCTGAAAAGTTTCCGACCTAATAAAGACATTTTTTCAGATTTTTTTCAACATAGTCTCCTTTCAACTCTAAACACTTCTCCCTGCGATGCTCTTATCTCTGCAAAATAATTGTTCACAAAGGTGATGGCCTCTTCATTTGAAAAAAATTTCTATCCTCCTAGCGCAACTTTTAGATCAGGGAACAAGAAGAAGTCGCTTGGCGCAAACAGTTTAAACCGTAATTGGTGGATTTTCACCACGGCTACCACCGAGGTGTGAGACAGCCGTTTTTCAGCAAGTTCTGTCATCACATTCCCAGTCAAAAAAACAGTTTTTGCTTTTTTTGGAGCCGGTTCACACCCCTTGCAGTCCACTGTTTAGACTGTAGTTTTGTTTCGGGCGTATAACGGTATATCCAAGTTTCATCTTCAGTAATTAATCGGCGCCAAAACTAGGATTTATTACGCACAAACTGTGCTAACAGAGCGTTGGAAATGTCCATTCGAACACGTTTTTAGATTAACGTGAGCAAACGCGGCGACAGCTTTCTCATGCCTAAATGTTGATTTAATATGTGATGTACCATTTGGGATTTTATAATAATTCTGTAGTGTACTTGACCGATAAATAAATAAAATAATTATAATTAAATTGATTCGCCGGTCGTCTAGCACAACTTGAACTTTGGAGATGTTTTCGTCGGTAGTTCAGTTTTTGGATGTCCCAAACGTTCATCGTCTTCCAAGCCCTTTCGGCCACGTTTAAATTCAGCTGCCCAAAATTTCACTGTGGTAAATGATGGTGCAGAGGCCCCATATGTAACGAAAGCTCGATACTCGATTTTGTCCATTTTCATTAAACACATCAACTCACTACCTACATATATACCTACCTACATATATACACACACACCTACCTACATATATACACACACACTTAATACGTTTATCCAAGATGCATTTCGCTACAAGGTAGCTTCACAAGTTCAACTATGAAGCTACCTTGTAGAAAAACGCATCTAAGATAAAATTTATTGTAGACATTCTATAGTTACTATCATGGACAAGGAGTATACAGTTGTTGTAGGGCATTAAATTTTCTTCAAGGAAATTTCTGAGCCAAAGTTGTATGACCCAAAGGTTTCCAGTTATAGAGTTCGAGAAATACAGTTTAATAAAAAATAGACATTTAATCTTTGACAATTTTAAGTTTATGGATCTCACACAGAAAATAACCTAACAACAGACTCTAAGGTTCTTGAATTATGAATTTCAAAAAATACTCATTTATTTACTGTAATTAAATATTGATATTATCTGAGTACTATTCAATCACAACTCACATGGAATGACATTTTGATTTTCCCACACATTTAGGTGCGTTATAGTTTTTCAAGTTTCATAAGTATTGTATACAATATGTGAATGCTAAATCATTTGACAGAAAACATCTGTTCGATATTACATCGAAAAAGTAATTATTTTTACTTTAATGTTTTTATTTTCTAACTGAATTTTTCAATCAATATCCTCATCAGTGGAAAGCTAATGTAACTTACACTATATTTTTGAAAGCTTACTTGCAGTTAATGACACTGTTGAATCAGGAGTTCAAACAACAGAATCTTATAACTGGATTTGACTTTTGACAAAGAGCAAATCCCATATTGTTTACAAACTGTAGCAACCCACAGAAAACAATTTTCAGATGCCGAAAAACAAACATTAATGGGACTAGGAATTTAACAATGATAATTTATGAATGGAGTTATTAAAATGATTTATTGGTCAAACTATATATTCAAGTGATGTAAATGAATAGGTACTTAACAAAATTCATAGTTAGAAAGGCCTATAGTCTGCGTTAGTTAATTTTCAACATAGCATCAATAAAAAGATTTACAAAAACGATTTTTTCATTGAAAGGTTAAGAATCAGTGCACTGACTTTATTCGAAAAAAACTTTTATTTTATTTTTATTACTTCAAGAGATTGGCTTTCACGGCTGTCGTCAATGTTTTGGTTGGTTTCCGGGTTTTGCCTTGGTCTTTTTTAGTTATAATCTCCAAACATTTTAACTGCAACTGCAGCAGTCATTAATAATGACGTATCACTAATTAATACTGTTATTTGGTATATAGGAATTGTACCCATGTCATTATACTGTTAGGGCCAAAAATCAAAATAGCAGCTCTTGTAGCTTTCTTTTAGAATAATCCTGCTGATTGAAAATTATTTAAAATTATTTGAAAAGTTCCTTTTTTTTTTGAAAAATATGTATTAGATACCTGGTAAATTTATCATTTCAAAAACTTTGACAAATATATTTATTAATCACATACATTTTCATCAAATATCCCTAAATTATTATTCATTCATTAGCTGTTGAACTGCTCTTTATCAATTGCTTTCTATTCAAAAATACTACTTACCACTCTGGAGTCGAGCTTGTAAACTAGGTTTTCGTCCTGGCCGATCTGAGTAGAATTCATCTTCAGAACCCATCGCCAGCCTCCTTCTGATTTCTTCTCTGTCTGTTCGTCTCTGCAAGTGAAAACTTAATTGAATTCTAGATTGATGCAAACAAAACAATCACTCACATCCATACTGTTTTCATCATTGAGTGTGATAACTCTTATAAATCTATCAACAATATTTTGTTCATCATATGAAGGGGGCACATAGGGAAACCACTCCATATTTTCGTTGACAGCATTGTAATCCATACTAAAAGTAGTCATTGAATAGGCTCTAGGAGATAAAAAGTCGTTTTCATAGCAGTCTGTATCCTCTCTCCGAGTTATTGTATAATAAGTCGTTTTGCTTTTGTGGGTGAAATTGTTCTTTAACGTATTTATATTCTGAGAAATTTGTCGCGATTTGGATCTGATAGCATCGCTGAGAGTATTAGTTCGGCTTTTTATGGCAGCGAACCAGTTGTCCAACATGTTAAAAACTTTTCAAAACTTATTTTCGGCTTTCAATAGGCAAACTTCAATCACAAAACTTCTAGTAAAAAAAAGATGCGAACAAGTCGAGTTCGTCATGAAGAAAAAATTACCACACACTAGTTTGAACAAAAGAACGTTATCAATAACTGTTTTGGCACATGTTTCTTATATGTTTTCTTTTGTTTTGTTTTGTTATGGCGTCTGTTCCGAGTTCTGATGAAATGAGACAGACAATGAATCATCAGACGGCCAGAGAAAGATGCATGACGCCTCTTAGCACCCGTCACGTTTCCAAGGTTACATAAGAGTACCTTTCGTGGGCGGGTAATTTGAATTAAATTATACAAGGGGATATGAAAGAATAAGTTAGTGAATGTTTATTTTTGTGAAATAATAAATACTTTATTATCTATTTGAAAGTGGTTGACGATGTTTCTTTTCCCATTTTCTTCTTAAATTTCCATTGTCCTAAATGGTGTTAACATATTCGAAAGATATGGAACAATGAATGAAATAAAAATGAATAAAATGCTCAAAATAATCGGACTGAAATATTCGATTAATTTAGTTCAACAGAAGTGATAAAAAAAATGGACAAAACTGAGTAGCATGAAATTGTAAGACCGCTAATTTGCAAAGAAAACAAATTATTATGACCAGAAATGAATTGATGAAATCTTTCTTCTCTGACGACAGTTACAGTTAACATCAGAAATATACACTGAAATATTAGTGAACCTAGCAATAAAACTATTAAATATAAAGAATAGTTTCATTTTATTTGAATGCCTTAATTTCTTCTTCATAAATACATCTTCTCGATGTCATGTTCATTAGGTTGTTTATTTGAAAATTTTTTGCCAAAAAAATTATCCTATCAAATTTGTCTATTTCTAGTCATGTGTGTCGAAATAACCAATGAAACCATCATTACACTGAAAATGTTTTGCCAAAAAAATTATCCTATCAAATTTGTCTATTTCTAGTCATGTGTGTCGAAATAACCAATGAAACCATCATTACACTGATAACTACCCATGGATAGTTTTCACGGGTAGTTATCACTTATGTCATGACATTGCTAAGCAACCAACACAATAAAGTTGTTTGACATTTTAATAGTATGCGTGGAAACACCTATGCAGTAACCGAGGCAAATACAGCAAGATCAACGGAATATCATTATACGAATTGTTCTTTTAATAACTGTGTGTTCAATAGATGCTTTTGTTCGAATTGCAAAAAATTTTCTCACCGAATATCCCTCGAGCATTGATAAATAACTCATAATTGTATCACAACTTCCCCAAGCACGTTATTTTAGGTAACATCTCTCCGCCTTCGGCGTCGGGATGTTACCAAATAACGTGCTTTCGAAAACTGTGATAAAATTATTTCGTTAGTTATCAATGTCCTTGGGATATTATAGCTGATAATTTTGCCTGAAGATTTTTACAGTTTTATGGATGTAGCAGTTCATGCTCATCCAAAGTACTGGTGAAAACAGTATATAGATAACTATAATGGTGATTACACAAATTGAAGGTAGGAAAACTTTCTTCGAGATATCATTTACTTGTGATGCACTGTTTGGAACCTTTGGTGTAGTAATGAATATTAACGGAGTGATATTTTTCAAGAGAATCTGTTTGGAAAAAATCTGTTTAAAATCTGTTTTCCGTTAATCAGCTGTCGTCCCCATACGAACGACCACTCTAAGAAGTTGAGAAACTTTTGTGCGAGCTAAGGACTAACGAGGTCTTACCTTTAAACGTGTGATTCCCTTGAAGATATGATCACTTGGTGATTGAAATACGTGCCGAGGCGTTGAAAATAACGGTTTGGTGTTGGGATAGAACTTAATTATTATGTAAGAGATTATTTCACTCAGAAGAAGTTGATTTTTAACTAATTTTTTAGATATTGAAAGCCTATAACAAATTGACGTTCAACAATCACAATATACTTAACAAATTCCTGCTCTAAGTTTTTTGAATACCTATATCGTGAGAACATGTACAAATTTATCTCTAATTAAAGCTACAAGCTACAGTAGGAATCTATTACTGTGAAATGCTTCAGTTTTGTCGAAAATTATTTCTATAAGTGTCGTTAAAAATTCACAATAAAATATACGTAGACAGATTGTTTTTATCAAATATCAACGATTTACTTAGAAACTCACCTCATTTTAACTATGTTGTAACTTTCTTATTAGTCAGTGGGCTCTGCTTGAAGACAGACAGTAAACAAATCTGAAGAAATTAACTTTAAATGTTCAAGCCAGTCTCGGATATACCTACATAGGTAGNAGAAGGAAGTTGGAAATGGTTGAAACACGATTTGGAAGAGCGTGGTTACAGTGGTGATGACCTGGCCATGCACATGTGCGAATATCTCTGGCGTCGGGAAGTCCGTCACAATAAGTTGGATCCCTTCTTAGAACTCATTAAATGTATAAAAAGTCAGTTCAAACCAAAATATATGTAATAGAATAATATGAATAAAAAATATTTTTTGTCATTTCCTCGCGATGAAACCCATACCATTGTGTTCCTCTCATCGTCTCCTTTCGATTGATATGCCACTCCCCCTGGTGGGTGTTATCCCAAATACTAATGTCCTGCCTTTCTTCATTTTTACATTACCAAGATACAGACTGATTTGAGGCTTGCACTGTTTGTATTTCAAATGAATATAACGTCTCATGATATTTTACAAAATGTTTAGAATGCTGCGTTATTATTTTTGTTACTTGAAAAATTGAGTATGATTGGCAACTTTTTTTTACCTACCCCAGTAAAGGTATTCTGAAAATATAATTTAAAATATAAAACTTATCATATAGTAGAAACATACCAGTAAATCGAATGAATAAACACTTGGAATAACATGACACTTTTTCTAAAAGATATCAAATACTCACAGTTTCGTCTAAACTTTCCAGAGTTTCGTTTTCATCAAAAGTTAACGTATATAAATCATACAAGTATGTAGTGTCTTTCTTGTAGTGCCTCTTTCTTTTTAATGACGACATATTTAATCACTGATAATGATAATCAGAAAACCCACACGAAATTCCACAGTCGTATTAAAAATGACGAGTCAATGCGGTTGTACAGTTTTCGTAATTTGTAAGCACAAAATATCACTGCATAATATCCTAGAACCTCTGCACGTTATGAACCAACGAAAACTGTATTTCTCTTGGTTGGCACAGGAAACGCAGGTTTCTATTGTTCAGATAAAATGATGGGAGATATGGTGCGGAAACATACGCTTTCGAAACAATTATTATTGCAAAGTATACTGTAATTAATAGTTTTTTGCAATGACTTACAAGGTGAAGTGATATTCAATATTTTGAATGAAACTACCTGTGGAGTGGGTCGAATACTTCCAACACGATTTTTTCAAACCTAAAAATAGAGTTATTGGTATTTAAATTTGTAGTTATCATTTTTCTAACAATATGCAGCCTAAAATATAAGTAGAATTCACAGTGTACATGTTGATTATTCAACGAGCAAGAAATGTGGCCATTACTCCTGAGAAAATATTTTATTTGAATATTTTATCTGAAAATAACCTACATATATAC